TGGGGGCTGAGATGGGTGAGGGGCCAGGGCGGTGTCCAGTCTGCCTGCAGGTCAAGGGCAAGTGAAAGTAGGAGGAAGGTCAAGGACCAGCCTGGAGGAGAGTGGGGGGAAGGGCCCAGGACAAGGGCTGGGACAGGGCAGAGAGGGCAGTGGCCCCGGAGGCAGATCCTGCAGCGGGGACCACTGCTCTCTGCTCTTGTCCAACCCCAGGGGTTTGTGTCCAAAAACTCCCCAGTGACCTGTGTCAAGGAGCCCCCCAGCCAGTCCCGAGGTGGGGTGGGCACTGAGCAATGGGCTCAGCCCTGAGGGCAAGGGTGCTTGCTGTGGCGGACTCAAGTGATGTGCCGTGTGGGAGTCTGGGTGCAGGGGGGAAAGACGCTCCACTCTGAGGTCCAGCACTCAGCAGCATGCTGGCACCTCTGCTGACTCCTGCAGCCCATGGCCCCTCTTCCAGATCCTCCACATGCTGCCCAGTCAGCGGTCAGCGCTTGTCTTCATGTCTGCCTCCCCTGAAGTCTGTGAGTTCTGGGAGGATGTGCCTTGGCACAAAGGTGGGGCTTCTGAGCACTGCCCACCAAGTGGGCTGGAGGAGCCCAGCACCCTTCCTTGCAGCACGGTGGCATGGTGCATGGAAAAGACCTGATGTCAGGCAAACACTGGCACCCAACCTACCAGGGTCCATGGCCCGGAGGCAGCCACAGAATCACCCTCAGACAGATGGGGCTGCAGGGTGGTGGTGTCTGAGGCCGTCCCTGCTCTGGATACCACCCCAGAACTCGGGCCAGAAGGAGGAGGTGGGCTCCACATATGTCACGGCCCCTCTGCCTGAGGTTTCTGGCTCTGCTCAGAGCCCTACTCCAGGTTGGTTTCCAAGGTCAGCTGCCTTCAAACCATTACTTTCACCAAGGTCTGGTTCCAGCTAGACTGGCTGGCATCTCACTCTTCTTCCCACACAACACCCACTGCCTCCCAATCCCCCAAAGCCCCAGGCCACGCTGGCTCCTCTGCCCACTGACTGCCCGCCCACGCTCCACCAGCTGGCCACCTCAGAGGCCACCTGCTCTGAGGGGCTTCCTGGATCCCTCTCCATAGGCCCCAGGCTTCCAGCCCCCAGACAGAACCAAGTTCTGACCTGAACAGGCTGCTTGGCTAAGCCCCTCAACATTGCTGTCCAGGGCCCATGCTGGCCACCTAGCATGCCACACCGTGCCACGCCACACCATGTCATGCCACGCCACACCAGAGTGCAAAGACACGACATAAGTTTAAGAGAAAAGAGCAAGCATGTTAGAGGGAGAAAGTTTGAAGGTGCTGGCTCCTCAGTGGTCCGTCCACTCTGGGACTGGAGAGTCCCCCTGGGCACAGGACCACAAGGGGCAGTGATGTCTGGGACTGGCCTGAACTGGCCGTCCCAGGCTGTGAGCTGGAGGGACTGTATTGCTTGCTGTGCCCGAAGCTGAGCGGGAGGCAAATATAGGCTGTGATGGGGCCAGAACCAGCGCCTGGAAGCACTGAGGAGAGGGAGACGAGCCACTGATGCCAGGAGCTCTGGGTCTCCTCCCATCCAGCACTGGGACAGAGGAAGGGCCTGTGTCCCCACATCAAGCTTGAGCTCTGGAAAAGCTGCCCATGTGAGTCACTACCCTTGGGCAGCCACTGCACCTGCCTGCTTCAGGCAGTTGCCCAAAAGGATCCTATACCTGCTCACTGGTCCCAATTTACAGACAAGGAGCCCCAGAGAGGCAAGAGTGATTGCAGAGGCCACGTGGCAGTAGAGATGGAGCGCGGCCGAGAACCTAAAACTCCCAACCCCAGCCTGGCCAGAGCCACATGCTTTAGGCCAGGGTTTGTGCTGGCGCCTAGGAAGCGGGGCCACTCTGAAGGGCTGAGCCCTGTGGCCTTGTTGCTCAGCAAGGGGCCTGGACTGACCCTGGCTGACCTCCTTCATGGATCCAGCCACCTCTAATCAGAACCAGCCTGCGTGCTTCTCCTCTTGCTCAGGGGAGGCTCCGAAGTGCGGGCATTAGAAAGAGTCAGGCGACGTAAAGAATCTAAATTGCCCAATAGCTCTAGACTCATCAGCCCTCCCAGAAGCCATGGGGATCAGAGCCACTTAGGTGCAAAACAAGCTGGGGCTTGGCACCCTGGACCCACCCTGATTTTGAGACTAACAATCATTACGATGGCTGAGACACAATCACAACAGCTTCGGGCAATTGTCACGGCTGACAGAAGCTCAGGAGAGAGGCAGTTTGACCCCATCTCCACCACAGGCATTGATGAGCTGTCAGCCCACATCCCATGTACTTGACCCATCCTCTTCAGACCTTCCATGAGGCCTGTGGGAACCCTGGAGATACCACCACTTGTCCTTCCTGAGATATCCAGGAAGTCTACTGTTTTTTAGATTGATTCATTGCCCAAATTTAAAAATTAGGCTATTCACACAAAGATCCTAATGAAGGAAGAGACTAACCAACATGCTGATTAATGTAGAGTGTGGTTGAGGCCCCCAAATCTGTATTCTGGTTAAATCTCGAACCCTGGCTTCAAGTGAAAATCTGGCCTGGCCACCCACGGGCCTTGGGTGGGGTAAGCTATGTGGGCTCAAAGCTCCACTGCACAATATATTTGCAGCCCAGTTCCTGAGGTGCCCGAGTTCCCCTAGGACTCCTCTCCTCTCCTCTCCAGCATTGTTTCCCACCCTTGCTGAACCAGCTGCCCAGAGCTGCTATCTGCATGGAATGCAAACTCCTGCCTTGGTCGAGGAGCCTCACAAGGCCTGGTCTCTGCCTAGTTCCCCTCATCCTGGGCTCCTCTCCCCTTGGCTCTTTGTGCTCCAGCATCCCACCCTTCATTCTGCTAGTCACACCAGCCTGGGCCATTCCCACCTCAGGGCCTTTGCACACATTCTACCTGGCAGGCTCCCCCAACTTCTCCCGTGGCCACTCTTGTCAGTCATTTGGTTTCAGTTCATGGTGGCGTCCTCAAAGAGGCCCTCTCGTCTGCCTGTTTCTATTTCTCCACCCTGTTCCCTGTTTCTTTCCTTACCACTGCATCACAGCTAATAGCCTGGCTGGAATCCTACAGTGTGACCTGGGGCAGTTCCCTAATGTGACCAGTCTTTGGCTTCCTTACCTGTCTCTGAATTATAATATCTCTGCCTCACTAGGCTGCTGTGAGGCCTCAATTCAGAGTCAGTGCAAGACCCCACAGCAGCCACCTCATCACACCCCACCCACCCTACCTCTCTGGCTGATGCTGAGGTTGCTTTGTAACAGCCCTAGTACAATGGTGCTTACAGGCGAAACCAGGACGTGCAGTAGACAGGACACACCCACCATCGCATCATGTGCCTGCCTTCACTTCACCTGGAGTCCTGCTGTGGGAAAGCCGTTCTTCAAAGGCACAGAGCACACACCACCTTGCTGAAGAAGGGGCTCAGGCTGCCCTGGCCTCAGGGACTTTACAGCCTGCTCAGAGCAGTCACCCTATAAACCCCTCCTTGATGAAAGCAGGACTCTCCTCCCACCTCCAACACTCACTCTCTTCTCCATAAATCTGTTTCTTATAAAACTTGGTTTGGGCCCAGGGTCCTCATCTGGGGCAGCTTGACCCCAGAGCCCCACAGCTGGGAGGTTTTATAAGGGGCAAACTGAGCCGCCCGCGTGGGCTGCGGGGAAATCTGGACAACATGATGGGAACACTGGCCAAGGAACCACGAGGCTAGGCCTCTCTGTCCCGGGGACACGGCAGTGCTAGGGATTAGCGGGTCCATCCTGTCTGTGAGGAAACTGCCTAAACAAACACTAAGAACTCTAAGGAGTCCAATAAAGTAGTTCTGACTAATCACCCTGGGTTTTGTTCTTTTTAACTGTTTTATTCTTTCTCAAGAACTGTTTTCAAATAAATACCATGCCCAGGGCCCGACTGCCACCTCAGAGCCTCTGTCAGCTCTGCTGGGCACTTTACACCCAGGATCCTGTCCCACCCTCTAAAGACTCTGCAGGGTCAACAGCACATCCGTTTTGTGGATGAGGAAGCTGAGGTTCTGGATCCTCATGGGAGGCCAACCAGGCTCCTTCAGGCCCTGCTGCAGGGCTGTCCTGTGCTCGCACATCTACTCCCCTGACCACACAGAATGGCCAGGTCACAGGAACGCCGGCCCTGCCCCTGCCCTCAGCCCGCTCGGTGCAGCGCACAGCTGCTCGGAGGCTCCGGATCTTGCCATCATCTTAAGCACAGGCCTCTGCCTTTGCCACGCCGCTCCCTTTGCCTGGAAGTCCCTCTGTTCTAAACACCTGGGTTCTGGCTTCTATCCACACTGTCCTACCTCACAGCCCTGCTGCTTTGGGCCCAAACTCTGGCCACCATTGTCCAGACACCAAGGACCTTCACCTGCTGAGAACGGCGGGGGGCCAGGCTCTTTCTGAGCCTGGGCAGTCCCTAGGCTACTTATGCCGTCGGCTTGGCCAGCAGTTTTCCTCGGTCCCTCTGCCTGGACTCAGGCTGGCTGGCCACTCCACCTGGCCTCTAGGGGGCAGCAGGTTCCAGACCAGGAAGACGGCCCCCTGGCTGGTGACCGGATGAACACACAACAGACAGTCTTCAATGTTGCCAGGCTCACAGAGACTGAGAAATGGTCACTCAGCCTGGTCAGGCCTCAAGCTCCCCTTAGGGAAGGGGACCATAGAGAACAGGGCCCCACTCTTTCTGGTCACAGCCAGTCCCCAGTCCAGAAAGGAAAACAGCTTCTCTGGTCATATGTGCCTCTGTGTGGCCCCACCTTGTCTCCAAATAAAAACACCAGAAACACCAACAGCCCTGGTAAGCAGGTGGAGGGAAGGCGCTGGGAGGAGTCCCACACAAAACAGCCACTCAGGCTACCACCAAAATGCCCCGCCTGACCCCAAAGCCCCACAATCAAGATGTGGAGAAGGGGTTTTCCTGCTTGCCTATCACTGTGGGGCGGGGCATGCTGGGCAGCATGGTGGACTTACCGTTGGAGCGGTGGATGCAGGTGTGCTGGTTGTCACTGAGGAAGAAGCCACTGTGGCACTGACACTCGTAGCTGCCCATGGCATTGACACAGATCTGCTGGCAGCCACCATTGTTGTCCTGACACTCGTCCACATCTGCAGAACAGAAAGAGAGGGGAGATAAGAGATCACACCTGGAGCTGGAAGTGAAGGAGCAACAGTTCCCCCCAACTGCACAAAGGGGCTCCCCAGAGGGGCTCCCCGAGCTAACCCATGGCGGCACTCCCCCCCC